AAATTAAAACAGGAAAATTATATCGGACATAAATCAGACCGGTTCCGAAATCCGAATCCGAAAAATTCGGTTTTTATAAAGATCACAGTAATCGCTTATCAAAAAAATTTATATGACTATCACGACTACTTTTCTGACATTAGTATGGCTGAGTATTGACAGTTGATGTTTTAGCGTCAGATTGTACGGTAACTGTACGATTATAGACTACATTACAGTACTTTATCGTCATGTTATAAATCCCCTTTCTCTAAGGATAGGGTTTTGCTACAAAGTCAAATTCCTTTACAATTTGAATAGACGATCAAACGCCCTTTCTTTAGATTAGGCAATTGCTCTCGGGCTATTTCTATATTAATCTATATAATACCTTGTAAAATAATGAAGAAGAAAAGATGGCGACATGATGATTTGGCAGGGTAAAACTTAAAGACACTATCGCTTTCTAGGTATTTTCTATAGTAAAATAGTACTAGTTACATACTAAAAGCTATAAAGGACTCTACTTTTAGTCCTTTACTACGTCTAATTCAATTATCATCAACTAGACCTTGAATCATCTTGCTGCTATCTATCACACAATAACAATCAATATCAATTATGTATGAACTTTTACAAACCACATCCACGTTAAGGCATTAGTTATCTTAGCTAGCTTTACAAATATGGATATTCTCCATACTAGCTACTACTGTACTTATTAAACTATCCTAATGACACTGTAACACCGTAACACCTTCTCCATCGTCGATCCAGTAAATCTATATCGTATCTTAATATTAAGTAGGATTTACCTACAAATATTATTTCTGTACTGATATAATCATAGAACATAGGGGATACGCGTATTTTATAGTGTGCCTAACTATAGGATATTTTAGCTCAATTCAGTACTACTCAACCACTTTTTCTTTCTTCATTCATTATTATTAATGTATCGATGCAAAAAGATATGATTCTTTTACTTGATTAAATAACAAAAACTCTACGCCTTGAGTTTGCTATCGTCACTACGATGATAAATATTATAATACTTTACGTCTCAAGCATCCCTAGATGGCTGTTACAATTCAGTCTTTGTGGCATGGAAACGCAAAATAAAAGTCTTTACGTAGCTCGCTGGCATGAACGTCTTTTACCTCTCAAATAGGTGCTCAACTAAAGGTAGTAACAACAAGGCTTTCATGAGCACTTTTTTAATTGCTCGAACGATTAATATCTATATAGTAACCATCTTGCTTGTAAATAACTCTAATCCAATTATTAAGCTTTACCAAAGTATGTTTCTTCGAATACATTATCCCAACATAGCTGTTGTATTAGTAAACAATCTTAACATACTGCTCATACGTAATCCTAATTCAAGCAAGAATGCTGTCTAATTCAACTACCCTGGACCAGGATTTAATCATCTTATTACTTTCTAAACATAAAATAATCGATATCTAATATATAAGTTCAGATCTTAAATTTTGATTATAATAATTGGTAGAAGCCAGCTCGCTATCATTCACATAGTGTGTGCATTTGTAATTTTTACTTTACATGATTTGCGAGAAGGCATTAACTATCACGTCTAGACTTACAATTATAGACTTTGCTATTTCATCTTCGACTACAAAACTACTCGACGGGTAAGACAGTACCTTAGCACCAAATCGCAATTCTATATCATTGTAATAGCAACGCAGAATTTGTCTATTGCGGATACGTTGTGTAGCTGTATCTCATCTCCTAAATTATATAGTTGAAACCATAGATCAACTCCGGTTACTTGATGCTTCTAATTTTACTAATGCACTCTTTTAAACAAATAAAATTTCTTATCAATGTATTCAAGTCGCTTATGATTATATAAATCAATTAGTAAATTTTCCAGATTCGCAAATGATTAGCTTATAAAATTCCACGAATGACGCTATGATCGATAATAATAGACGAAATCAAAAAGTCCCACTTAATGGAAACCTTGCTATATCACCGCTAGCAACAGAAGTACATATATGCACATGTTTGAACCCTAATTGAAAATTCTATCAATCTGCACACAATAGCTCTTTGTCTCATATTTATTGTTATCTTTCTGTTCCGCAAATATTTGCGTATTTTTAAACTGTTACGACTTAATCCTGAATTTTAGGTTCAAATGACAAAAAAGGCACTAATTATGGATATATATATAACAACTATTGGGTGCCTTATGTTACAAAATCAACTCCAGCAATACACAAAAATTAAAAATTAATCACCATTACTTCTTTTCAAGGGCAAATGGCAGCTATTTTCTACACAATAAATTGCTTATTCGTAATCGGTTACCATAAGTGTTATAGGTATGAAATCGAAATCAAAGTTGCCTATTGCTTAAAGCGGACATTAATATTTTGTATATAATAGTAAATTTATTAACAGAACCAAAAGCCGCTACACAGTAGCGTGTAGTGATATATTTAATGTGGATAATTTCAGAATAACTGAATAGATTTTCGAAAAGTAGTAAAAATGAAAGTTGGTATCATTGCCTTAAGAAATTAAGCCGGGATGAAAATTTAGATTAAAATACATACTTATACATTGTTATATTAGCAATTAAATGTTATTAAAAATTGATAGTCGCAATGTATCTATAGTAGCTAGCACTTTATTTGTGTCTGATACTTTGTCTAAAAGAATGCCTAAGTGATTTTCTAGGCACATATGAACCTATAATATGGGAAAATAGACAGCAGTTATTCAAATAGTCAAAACGAAAAAATATGTAAGTATATATATAAACCTTAGTAGCTGACACTCCACGTCTAAAATGCTTACTTGTATCGAACTTTGATCCACTAACTTGATTCTGACTGTCTTCATCCATATCTCTCCGTCGAAAAGATCGCTAAAGATGATACAAGATTGTAACAGTTACTTAACTGTTGAAATATCTTAGTAAAGAGTCAGAATATTGCTACATACAGCTGTTGACTTAGGCTACATTGCGTATTCAAATTAAATATCAATGAATATCCGGTTATTTAGCATTATAGCTAACGTAATTACCATAATTCCGTACTTCTGACAAACCATATAACTGACATACGGACAGTTTAGTTACAAATAATAGAAGTCATTGCTTGCCAATATTAGATATGTTCGCTACTGATAACAACTTATTAAGTATTGCATGTGGACTGGTATGAGTTATGTATCCTAGATGTGAACTGCATAATACTATACCGGGTTAGACATTGATGGAAAAAGTAATTATATCTTAGCTCTGCTATTCTCGAAAACGGCAGTAAAGTTTTTTATTTTATTTTCTGTAGATTTAAAATTATTTTCGGAGAATTTAATTTAATTTCTTTTAGATTATATATTACAGTTAAATAGGTTTATAAAAGTATATGGAGTGTACCCGTACCAAATAAGTTTTGCCTTTTCTGTTGCTAATGGTGGATGTAACTACAAACTTTCGTCTCATGGTTGAAGATAAGGCGTGTCTAACCTAAGGTTAGTTTACAAATTCGTAAGAAACGAAATGAAATTCAGTAACGAAGGGAATGAAGCAGAAAACTAGATATAAAATATGATTTATATTGTCGTACGCACTCTACATAAATCTGCAAGATTTTCGCAGACTATGTTTAATACAGTATTCCGCCATACGCACATTTACGAATACGCAATTTATGATTGTATTCTAACCTCCGAATTTAGTAGGCAATGAAACAGAAGGATGAAAAGGCCCTAATTAGAAAATAAATTTTTAATATTAACGAATCAATGCTCATCCGATGGACTTGAAAGACTTTCGCTGTCCAGTAATTCTGGTATTCTAACTACAGAAAAATTTGTAGGCCGGAACCACTATTTGTTGAGCGATTAATGCTTTAATTATATGTGTTTATAATTTCTAAATACGTAGTGCTTTTGAATTATTTCTATTCTGTTGCAGCAGCTTAAGATGCTTTCAAATGACATACTATCTTAAAATGAATATAGACCTGTATGTAACCCATATTCACCTGAAAACTATTGAATATAACAAATAAGTATGCAAAGATAATGGTTTCTTCTGTCAGCGGTATCAAACCAAAGACCCATGTCAAACCAAGAATGGGCAATAAAATTGCGGTAGCTTTTACAATTGATCTTTGAAAGAAATTAGAATAAACTAGTTATCTAACTTAATGATTGAATTTGCCTGGCAAGTACTTCACAGTCAAATTATATTAAAGCAAAAAAAGCACTTATAAAAGATCTACTCTTACTTGACTTTTAGTAGAGTGGTGTTTTTTGTCACATTTTCGCCAGCAACGGATCCACTTTTAGCAACTGATATTTGTATCACCGCTACCATGATGACTGCATTCGCCTTTTGAAGATTAGAAATAAGATAATTGATTCATACCTTATGGTAGTCTAACGTCTGATCCAAAGGAAATTACTGTTTTACGAATACTAAAAGTCTTAGTAATATTGAACAATACTACAATGTCTTAAATTCAGTTAGCTTCACTAACCGCTAATACTCCAATGATTGGGCCAAGGAAAGACCAGATCATGCCATCTGCGTAGGAAAGCCAACACCTATTACATACGTATAAATGCAATCAATTGGTTGGATGCAAAGTGCGATTATCATTACTTTACGATATGTACGTGCAAGACGCAATAAAATGAGGGTCATGTTAGTTTATTTGCTAGGGTATCCAAAAGAAGTATGAATTCATTGAGCTGACTATATTAATATAGTACAGTATGGTATCTATGATTTATATGCAAAATTTACCCTTGAATAAAACTTACCTAGCGTCTTTGCCGTAGCCATCCCATCTTATAATTGCAGTTGAAGTAACAATAACACATGGTATACCTGAATTAAGAAGTGTCTGAGGATGAATTTTAGGCACTAATATGTATATATATATACGTGTATCTGAATATTAATGAGCATATCTTTATCTTAAATAAATGAATTATTTATCAATCTGATACAAAATTTTAGTTCAACATACCCCATCCAATACACAGGTATAGCTTAATTTTACTTTTGTGATTAAAGACAGCAATGATAACAAAGTACAAGTGCAATCCCTCGACAAACATCCAAGTAAATGACGCCAAGTAAGAAAGATGTAGCAAGAGAGCTGATATCTTGCATAATATCTAGATCGTAGTATCATTAAGGATAAAGTGGTTAATTATAACAGAAGAACAATAACTAAGTTGAATTACTTCGCAAATTTTGATACACGGTTATTATGATATGATATCAATTCTATCAATTCAGCTTTAAACAAACTATTATCAGAGTAAACTTATTATATCTATAATTAGATACTACCTCTGTACGTGTATTCCTTTAAAACTACAAGCATTTGATAATATTTTTAAGAAAGTCAGAAATATATTATATTGAAAGATATTGAATTCTCTACATAACTTTTATGGTATTAGCAAGTATAAAGTCAAACCTTGATTTCTGCGGCGTTCATCGTTATGATTAACATTATTTGAGCGAGTATTAGCGCAAGAATAAAATTTTTATGAACGAAAAATCGTTCAGTATTAAGCCTGAAAGCGTGCCATAAGCGAATAATTAGCGGTAGAAAAATGATTCATAAATATGCAAGTCCATACGTTATACCTTTCCTATAAGACTGTAAATTGCATTTTCAGTTATCTGAATTAAAAGTAATATTACTTCCTCATGTACCTTAAAAATGTATAACAAAAAATTGTGATTGCCATGGATATAATGGAGAATCCAATTCCAATGTATGTTATGAACTGTAAAATCTCCAGGTCCCGATCAAATTTTGTTAAATTCACCTTCAAAAGAATCAAGAAATTCAATACATATAGGAATGTGGTACTAAAGTTTAGACTGATAGAGATGACGTTCATAACGTATAAAGAGAAACTGTAGGCAAATTTGCAAATGTAAGATATAAATCAGACATTAAACATAAAATTTCTAAATACCTCTGTTATTTGCAACATAATGGCAAAATGTGTTAAGTGATTACAGGAACAAACGGTATAAGTCTCAGATTGATTCACGATCAAACAGCCATTTTTCGACCATTTCCTATTTGCATTTCAAAAAAAACAATATTTAAACCGATTTGAGCATTTCTATACACAGATTTGGTATCAACCAGCAAATTCTGAAGCCATTGCATTAACATTTAAGCACGCTAAAGTAATCAATGTGTACGTATTTATTAGTATTTACCAAAAATGCAATCATAAGGTTAATACAATAGGGAAAAATAAAACTAGATCGAAAGTAAATCGCTCCTTTGCAAAGCATTCGGGTGACTACAGTAAATACTGTTTTAATAGAATACCTAAGCGTAGTATTCCAAAATACGCAAGTGGTTTTAAGCTTTTTGCCTTTAGGTTCATAATCATAACGATAAATGAAAGGTCTTTTGTATCCGTGAAAAGCCGATTTGGGATAGACGGTGCAAGATACGATAGAAGACAAGTTGGTTCTTGAATCACTAAAGAAAAATAGTTATGTATCTTATTAGGCGTAATTAGGTATTTAATTACTACAATAAACACCATATCAAGTAACCTATACGTTTTTTTTATTCTTATTTATTGTGTTACAGTATAATTACTTGAAATATCCAAATATTTCATTAGGAGCTTTTAGAACGCCAACACTGACACTGACAATTGCACCTAAAAATTACGATCACATACTTTAAGCTTAGCAATAACGCCTCATTTTTGTTGATCTAAAACTATCGCTTTCGCATTACCAATACTTTAGGCGTAATAAGAATTGAAAGCAACTAATTTACATCTATCCTAAAAGTTTCCATTGCTACTAATTATATTGAATATTCCTATTAATTATCATTACCTGGATCAAGTGATTCTCTAGAAATATAAACTGATACCGAACGTTCACTACCCTGATTAATTGGAAAAGATGCATAATAGTCGTCTACAGTATGGTTGGTATTGTTGACATCGCCAACTACGTAAGCTGTTGCAATCAAAATAGTTAAGGAATTACCATAAGATTACACTCTTGGACGCTAGCGAAAAACACTTGTAATTAAGCGTTATCTTGAGATATTATATGGTACATGATAATGTAGCTTCAAATCCTTACCAGTTTTGCTGTTAGTAACATTAATTTTATCTCCATTATTTAATGTAGGCGATAACTTGTCACCTAATTTATCCATGGAGACAACAGATTGAGTCGCCAGTGCTCCATGAGTGTGACCATTCTGCAATGATTTATTGTTGCATTATTATTTTTGAAAGCAATTTGTCATAATAGCGATATTTCGCTCTCCTCTATTTCCGTAAAGCTGTTATTACTGTATCAAGCTCCAACATACCGAATGGCCGGCGGCATAAGCGGATACTTTGTCAAATCGGTCAATGTAAGCCTGTCATTAGAGAAAGGCGTTAATAATTAAGATAATTTACAGGACCATTGCGGTCATACTTTTCATTAATAATAATGGCTGCAATCGTTGAGGAAAATGCATTTATTTTTATAACTGAAACGATTAAAAATTGGCGACCATTCTAGCTATTGGACGAAAATCTGCAATTGTTATTCATACTGACTTCATAGCAAAACAACAGTAAATTTTGCAGTAAAGATAAGACGTAGTAAGCGGTCAGTAGTTTGAGCAACATTGATACTTACTGAGGCAAATTGAGTTTTATCACGATGACTGGCATTCTTTAAGATGGCTTCCACAACGAGCGATTGCATTTGATAATATTGTATCATAGGATCTGAATAACCTTGTGCAGAATTACCTAAAGCCAGTGGTATATGTAATATTGTGGTCACATTCTGTACTGGTTTAGTATTGGGAACCTAGCGATTGATATTTCATGTCGAGTTAGTTTATAGACCGGTATATCAGGTCAAATTGTTTCTAATGCACAAGAGTACATAAATGTCAATAGCAAACCGGGTTTTGGAAAGGTACTTTCGTCGTTGCTGAACCTGTAGCACTACTTGTACTTGCTGCTGCTATATCAGAAGAAATGGAATGATTGCGATTTAAATAAGCATGACTTGCGATTTCCTATCGATATTTTTACACTATCATTATGACACAGTCTACAATAGGTACTGCGGGTAGCCTTCAAATCATTTTATGAGGTATGCAGTACACTGTCGCTACCGAAGAGCTTAACATATCATTTATGCTGACGTTGCAATACAACTTTATGCGCATATAAACCGATCAACTTCCAAATGGAAATTCTAATCAAGTTTTAGTTGATAAATGTAATTTAATCAGATGAAGAAGTTTTAATATCCGATTATAAATTTGGGTTTGGCAGATATTCGTAGAACTGGCTATCATGATGAGCTAATGTATGTTAATACACAGCTTTCATTAGTACGCATACCGCTAGTGGTGGCCATTGGAGTAGTCACTGGCGCGTTAGTGGAGGGGATACTTGTGCTTGATGGTGCAGTATTGGAGCTAGTTACAGTAGTCATGGCTGTAGATGGCGTTGTCGATGGTGCTGTAGTTGGCAAAGTAGTAACTTTAGTAGTCGATTTACTGGTTACTTCGCTCGTTGTTCCAGCCAAAACTGTAGTTGTTGCCTTAGTGGTTAAATCGGTTGTTGCTTTGTTGGTGGTTGGCACAGTTATGGTAGGAGATGTTGAATCTGTAGTAGCGGCTGTTGTTGATCTTGTAGAGGGCTGTGTCGTTTTTGGAGTAGAGACTTGAGATAGGCTTGCATTTTGAGTAACCTCAGTAGTAATAACACTTTCACTTGCAGTGGTTGTTTCCATGGCAGCCAGTGAGGTGGCTTCAGAAGTCATCTCTGTAGTCGCTTCTGTTGTTCCATTGGTAGTCTCCTCCAAGGTGCTTTCCGTAGTTGTTTCTGCTGTTAAATCTGTAGTATTTCCATCAGTTGTACCTGTACTCCAATCGGTAGTTGCTTGCATAGCAAAATTGCTGCCTGTGGTAACTTCATTACCGTCGTCTGTAGCAGCTTGGCTAGTAGCCGCTATGGCTGCCACAGTGTTCTCAATTCCTGTGCTTGTTTCTGTAAATGCTTCTGTTGTTGCATTTGACGATGCTCTAGTTACGTCAGCCGTTACTCCAGTCGTTGCTTCAGTCGTTGATGGTGTCGTCGCTTCCGTAGTTGCTTCACTTGTTGATTCGGAGGTCGCTTCCGCAGTTACTTTAGTCGTCGCTTCGGCAGTGACCACGGCAGAGGTAGTTTCAGTAGCTGCTTCAGTCACGACCTCAGTTGCCTCGCTAGTACCGTTAGTGGTTGTTTCAGTCGTTGCTTCAGTCGTCGCTTCAGTCGTCGCTTCAGTCGTCGCTTCAGTCGTCGCTTCAGTCGTTGCTTCAGTGGTTGTTTCAGAGGTTGCTTCAGTCGTTGCTTCAGTCGTTGCTTCAGTCGTGGCTTCAGTCGTCGCTTCAGTCGTTGCTTCGGTCGTTGCTTCAGTCGTTGCTTCAGTCGTTGCTTCAGTCGTTGCTTCAGTCGTTGCTTCAGTCGTTGCTTCAGTCGTTGCTTCAGTCGTTGCTTCAGTCGTTGCTTCAGTCGTTGCTTCAGTCGTTGCTTCAGTCGTTGCTTCAGTCGTTGCTTCAGTCGTTACTTCAGTTGTTGCTTCAGTTGTCGCTTCAGTGCTCGCTTCAGTCGTTGCTTCAGTGCTCGATTCAGTCGTTGCTTCAGTTGTTGCTTCAGTCGTTGCTTCAGTCGTTGCTTCCGTGGTTACTTCCGTTGTTGCTTCAGTCGTCGCTTCAGTTGTCGCTTCAGTTGTCGCTTCCGTCGTTGCTTCCGTCGTTGCTTCCGTCGTTGCTTCAGTTGTTGCTTCAGTTGTTGCTTCGGTCGTCGCCTCAGTTGTCGCTTCAGTCGTTGCTTCAGTCGTTGCTTCAGTCGTCGCTTCAGTTGTTGCTTCAGTTGTTGCTACAGTTGTTGCTATTGTAGTCGCTTCAGTCGTTGGAACAGTGGCGTCTTGTCACAAGTACGTAATAAAATGTGTATCAGCGATATACAGTATAAAATGAAATAAAATGAATTCTAGTGTACTTATTTTACGATGTAATATGAATTAAGAGAGAGAATCGTTATCCAACTGAATATTGCAATTTTCTACTGCTCTAATGGAGCCGTTTAATGCATCGATTT